ATTATTGTAGATATCAATTTTTATTTCTATTAATCTTTAAAATAATATTCATTTAATATATTTTTAGTTAATCATGCATAAAGTTGAATTTTAATTGCTAATTAAATAATTAAATCTTTTGTTTTACAAATAAAATTAACAGGTTATAGCAAAAATGACTGTATTATTATTTGTCACAATAAGTGAATCTAGCAAATTTCTCCTAATTAAAATATTTGACAAATACAATATTAAATTTTTTTTAATATAGTTTTAATGTTTTATATATTTGCAGTATATATATTTGTTTTATATTTTAAAATATGATAATTTTACATTATTCTAAAAAATTTAATGAAAATTTAAATGTTAATTACCTGAATACTTGTCCCTAGAGGAGGATAACTTGTAGTCTCTGTTTTCTCTCTCCTTCTTGTATAGGGGCTTGGATGTGTAACTGCGAGGACTATCTCTATCTGTTCCCATGCCCATACCCAAGCCCCCAGCTGGACTATAAGAGTTGCCATTTGGGGAATCTCGCATACGTCCTTCGTAACGACTATCTGATGATGTTGTTGATGAGGAGTAGCCACCCTTAGAACTACTATATTTTGCGTTCTGTAAAAAAATATGACATATTAAATATAATTAAAAAATCATCTTAATTAATTATTAATTATCAATAAATAATAATTGAAAAATAAAAAAAAATAATTTAAAAACAAAAATATTAATATAGTTTTTTATATTCTTATATTTTTTATTGTAACTAATATAAAAAATAATTATTAAACAAAATTGTTATTGTGATAAATTATAATTATATACAAAAGTTAATATATATAAAATTGTTTATTATATTAAATTCCAATTATACATATAAAATATCTAATTATATATTATGTTTTACATAAAAAACATAATATAATACTAGTGTTGTGACTTAAAGAAAAATTCAATGCATTAAACATAAATGAAGTATCTGAAATTATTTATTATTTTTTATTAAAACACAACTGTTACAAATAATATATTACAAAAAAAGATTATAATTAATTTATTCATGTAATATTTCTAATATACTATTAGTAATCTGCATAATATAGAAGAATGAATTATTGATTTTCTAAAAGTGAGGTTATGTTTACAATATTAAATAAAATTTTTATCTTTTAGCAAAAATAGCAAAAGTGAGCAATTTATACAATATTTATAAGATATTAAATATAAATTATAAAATTATATTAAAAAGTATATATAACTATTGCATATTTTTAATAATATTGATAATTAAATGAATATTTCCAAGGACAATATTTAGTTAAAATTTTTATTCGAATTTTAAAAGAGAATTTTTTTTATTATATTTAATTTTTATATATTTCTTATATAATAGCAGAAACATAAAAAAAACGAAAATAAAGTTATAACAAAAAAAATTTTATACTCAACAAATATATATATATATAATTTAATAATTCAATGTTCTTTTATATTCATTAAATAAGATTTTTGGGATTCATTAATCAAAAAATAGGCAATAATCAGTTCACTTGTGTAATTTTAAAATATATGTTTTTTAATATATAAAGATCAGCAAATTTATATAGAAAAGAAAAACAATTTTTTTTTTATGATACATATGATTTACAACTCATATTTAAAATTTTTTAAAATAATTATGTAAATGAAATTATTTGACACTCGATTATTGAAATTCAATGTAAAAAAAATATATATACAAATATATATAGTATATATTCGTGTGTATGTGTATATATATAAATATATATATATATATACATATTATACATACATATATACATGTATACACATCACATACAAAAGCTATGCGATATTTGCGCCACACGAAAGGGACAAAATAGGCGGGCAAAATACATAAGAAATATTGGACACTAAATAAAAAAATGTCGCGCATTTGAAAATTATAATGAATTTCTTATAAATAATTTGTCTATAATATCTAATTGTGATTTAGTTAATAACGAACTATAAAAAAGAAAGTAATGTAAGAAATATGAAAGAACTATTGACACAGTTGATTGCACGATTATCGAAATAAAAAGCGCAAACAAAAAAAGAGAATTTTATTTTCTTTTTAATGAGAATGAAAAGAATCGCGGTAAAATCGTGCATACAATCGCACTGTAGACGAATTACCCCACTCCTAAACCCCCGACACCAATTGCTCGGATGATATTTACCTGATAGGGATGGGCCTGGTGCTTTTCGAAGTACCTGCAATCATAAAAGAAAAATGGTGAATAGAATTACAAGACAGCGGACGTTCCAAGATGGAAAATAAAATTTCCATCGAGGAAAATCTTCCGCGAATGGCGGTAGTAGTAATGTCGAATGGGTCGGATGGACGGACTTTGAAGATGAGAGGTGAGGTGAGTAGAGGTTGGTTGTGTCAGGATTGGGTATTTGACGGCGGTACCCTACCCATCGCTGATCCTTTGTGGTTTCCTCGCATGCATTACCATCAATGCCGGTGTCTGTGGGAAATTCGCGGCCTCGGATGTTCCCTTTTCGGTTGGTCAATGTCATAAAAACAACATTAACGCTTATTTAACAGTCAACTTTCTTTCTACCCGGACGCCATGTCACATACGTGATCGGCCGCTAGCGGTTATTATAGTCGAAAAGTTCGAGTAACGTCTGCGCTTCGGTGTGCACTTCTCTATTCAGGAGCGTATATACTAAAATCTTTGAACTGATCCATTTAACTGCACGTGACAGTGTGTGATCTGTGTGCTTTAAAATTCTTTTGTCAATTTGATTAATACATTTTGTACTTAAATTATATAAAAACTTATTAATTTTATTGTTAACTTAAATAAGATGATTGTAATATTTGATGAAAGATTTATTTGTGAAATATGCGTGTAAATTCAAAATGGAAATGATTATATTTGTTCATATGTAATGAAAATTATATAATCATATTATTCTATTTATTTTTTAAATATCATACATATAGAGAGAAAAATATATAGTTTTTTTTTACTTTAAAGAAATTTATATTCATTATAAATGTAAAAATATTCAAACACCAAATTTAAATAATTCTCACAATGACTATCAGTTATATAATTATAATTTCTAAAATTTGCATCTACTGTAATAAATGGAGAAAAATGATTTATGAAAGTATAATAACATTTCAATATATCGCCAATTTCATTATCAATAGAAAAATATTTTTAAATTATCAACAATATATTGGGGTTCTTTAAAGGGTGCGGCCGTACCTGTATTTGTAATTTCCGTAGTGACGTTCAAATTGTTAAAATAACGGCGGCGTTGATTCAGCATTGACGCCAGGCGTCGTGTTTTACTCGATTTTCGAAGAGCTATCATAAGTTTCGAGCACACCGACAATAGGCGGCGCAAGTTGCAATAAATTTATAGTTGTATGCGGTTATGCTGTAGGAAATGTAAAGAACTAAAGCTATGAGACGCCTTATTACGACAAAATAAAAGTGATGATCATTCCCGTTTAATTTCATTTTGTTGCAGGTATGTAATAGTAAATAATATAACAATGCATATTAAGAAGCGAAGATTATTTAATCTCTGTGTTCTCGACACGCTTCTAAAAACAAATGCATATTCAAGAAACTTGTGTTCTTTCATTGTTGATTGTTATTATTTAGACTTTTATAATGTAACATTGACACGTGGTTATATTATGAAATCGTAGCAATATATAATTGTATTAAATATTATATTAAGATGTGTTTATTGTAAATTTTATTTTTTACAATTTGATTAATTTATTTCAAGAAAAATACATAATATTTTTTATCTTTTAATAATATATTATATTATTAAAAAAAATAGTATATTATTATAATATTACATACAATTATATTAGATTTTAAATTTTAATAAGAATAATTTTTAAATTATAGTTTATTCTATAAAATGTAATCATAAGATACAAATATAAACAATTTTTTTATTTCAAATTCAGTAAATAATTTATTGATAAATATTGAGAGGCATAAGAAATATAAGAAAATATATCAACGATTAACATTCTTTCAAATTTATATAAAAATTATATATTTTTATTTTTTTAAATATTTGTATAGTTTAAAAATAATTTTTTAAATTATATCTAAATTTAATATTCAAATTTTATATTATATCTCTTATGTAATTATAAATGCATGATAATTAAATATAATATTAATTTTAATAAATTTACAGCAGATTTTTATAAAAAAAAAATAATGGATAAAAGAAATAAAGTAGATTTAACATTGACATGCAATAATCCTATAAGTATGTCAAAAAAATATGTAAATCAAGAATATATAATTAGTCATTTCAATGATATTAAATCATGTGAAAATATATTTCTATGGCTTGATAAATTTAATAATCTAATGTGTTCATCTGTGGGACATAGAAGTTATGAATTATTAAAACATTTACTTTTCCTTTATACACAGTAAGATTATTATATTTTCTAAGAAAAAAAATAATTTTATATATATATATATATTAAAAGAAATGAAAATGTACATATAATATATAAATGAAAAAATTATTTATATTGAAATTAATTTTTATAATTTAAAACTAATATTAATTAATATTATGTATTTTAGAAATATTTTAACTAATATAAATACATATTGTGAAAAAGCATTGGATATGACAAAATTAAAAAATCATCTGAGTACTACATTAACATTTTTTCATCTTTATTGGAATGATATTAAAGAGGTATATTAAATCATAAATTATGAATATAATAAAAATGATAATATATTAAAAATTTACTAATAAATGTTTTTAATAGCATGTTAATGATTACAACTCATATTTAAATGAAATGTCAATACTGTTAGGAATATACATAGATATAGAACTTAAAACTTTTACACACACTATGGATTCATCTAAAATTGCTTCAAAACTGCTTTCAGCATTATGGATATATCTAAGTAAGTTAAAAAAAAAAAAACATTAAAATTTGAATAAAAAATATTAAAATAATATTTTTATTCTAGGTAATTCAGAAAAACATATTTTTAGAGTATTGCTTAAACTAAAATTTGTTACTAAAAAATATTCAAAAATTTTTGATTTTATATTCATGTATGTAAATATTTAATATTTTCTACTTTTTTTAATATAAAGTTTTTTTTTACATAATATAAATTATTTTTCTTATATTAGGAAAAGTTTTACTAGTTTCAAGAAAAGTGTGGAATCTTTAACAGATGTAGAATATGTTAGATATTTACTTGTTCTAAAAATATGGAAAAAAATGAAAGAAACTATAGAAGAAAAAAAGGAAGTGAACAAGATAGCTTTAACAATATTAGGTCCATGTATTCCAAAAATGCGTGATGAATTATTGAAGATTATATGTAAAGTTCCAACAGAATTTGAAAATGGAACTCTTGGTCTATTACAATCAAATGTATTTAATTTAAAAACTGCATGTAATAATTTTTTAGTATTTGAAGAAGCAATGTTTGTTGAATCTAAAGATAATTTCATAACACAAAATTCTGATTTATATTTACAGGTAAATTTTTTTATTAAGAATTATAAATATTATTGATTAAATATTATTTTGATTTGGTTATTTTTAGGATTCATATAGTGTTCAAAAAAATTTTATAAATTGTGAATTAATAAAAAATGATACAGAAAATAATTATGCTTTTAAAAATGGAATAAAAAATAATAAAAATAATGATGAACTTCTCCCATCAAGAAACAGACTTAAAAATTATAAAAAGATATCAAAATTAAAACCTGGAGAATTAATTTTAATTGATTTAACTAAAGAAGATGAAGTAAAAACAGATAAAAAGAAAAGAAAGAAAAAGTGTCAAAGAAATTTAGAATGGTTAAAAATGGTAAAGAAAAAATATAAAGTACAGAAACAAATTGATGAACTAAAACATAAAAATCAAGTAATAATTTCAGATGCTCATAGTACGAAGAACTCTGAAAAATTTTCCCATAATATTCTTCTTGAAAAACAACCAATTTCAAATAATAAAATTAATGAAACTACAGAAAGTAATACTTTAATGGAACAAAAATCATTTCATGATAATACTCATAATTTAAAAAATACACAGGATTATATTCTCAATAAAAATGAAGTAAAATATATGTTTCAACATAAACAATGTGATACATGTAATTCATCAACAAAACAAACTGATACACAATTCAATAAAGTTCTATATTTGCTGGAAATTCTAAGTACTATGGGACAAAGTATTAAAGAACCAAAAACTATATTAAATCTACTGAAAGAAAGTAGGAATGAAAATAAAATGTCTTCTGAATATAACATTTTTTATAAAAATACAATTAATGAATGTAATGAAATGAATACTCAACAAGAAAGTTCCATAAAGACAATATTATTGTCAAAGGAGTGCCAAAATAATATTACAGATGTACAATCTATAAAACAAGAGTTACCAACAAATATAGATCTTAATGTGATAGAAAAAAATACTTACTGTCAAAATGAATCTATTTATGTACAAAGTGATAGTCATTTGCAATCCATGAATAGTCCAGAAATAATAGAAACCATGAAACAAAACATTGCTCATGAAATTCATGAATGCACAAGTTGTTGTAAAAAAATTGATATAAAACCTTTTTCCTACCATAACAATAGCATATTTAATATCACAAAGAATGATGTGGCTCAAAATACAATAGATAAGGATGCTATTGATAAAACATCAATTTGTGACAAAAATATAATGTGTATATTAAATGATCTTGATAAATGTATGGATGTTTTAAATCGTATTGGTGAACATATTATGACTGTTTATGCGGAAAAACAACAAGAAGTTTTGGGAAATCAATCTACAGAATCATCATCAAAATGGATACAAAATATTAATTCATTGACAAATGCAGAAAAAGAAGAACTCAGCAAAATTTTAAAATTTCGTGGGAAAAAAGATTTATTAAATGTATGCAGATGTCAAGATATTAATTTTTTAGATAAACTTTATAAATCAATATCTCAATCAGAAGAATATTGTTCTCATGAAAAAAATAATATTCTTCTCGAAAACAAATCAAATTCTATAGATAACTATATAAAATCGAAATTTGAACATCCCATTAAAGAAGAAAATAATGAAAATTTTGAAATTTTAAAAGATAAGATATTGAAAACAAATGAATGTAAAATTAATACATCAATAGATAATCAGATATGTGATATATCTTCTATACATGATTTGAAAAATACTAAAGAATTAGATCGAGATATACATTGGAAAGCAGAAAATTCTAAAGTAGAAAATTTGCCACAAAAAAGTGATGCAAAATCATGTTCTGTAGATGAATTTGAAAATATTGATATTTTAGATAGTATTCTAAATGTACATATAACTATTAAGGATGAACAAGAAATTTGGGAAAATTCACAATCTCCATTGATGTCACCAATTAATTATGATAATTCAAATAGTGTATTAGATTGTATTAAAGATTTTTTTTCACCATCTGAATATATGCATTCTAATGAAACAGAAGAAAAATATATTTTATCAAATACAGAAAATTCTCAAACATTATTACCTGAAGGTAGTCTTGGAATAACTGGAATATTAAATAGTTTATTTGATTTTGATTCTCCTTCAAACGATTTTATGTATTCAAATGCACAGGCAATTAATCCGCGATTAATTAAAAAAACTTTTAAAGATGAAATATCAACAAAAAATTCTAATATATCTGAATTAAATTTTGAAGAAAAAATTACAGAAAAGAATAATTTAGAAAATACATTTTTACAAGAGAATAAAGAATTATATAATCAAAATCGTTATATTGATGATAGTATGGATATAGTTGGATTTGGATTAAACACAAGTGCAGAAAAAATAATTGATTCTTATTCATTAAGTAAAAGTATACCTTCGTTCTCTGATCATTCAACTGTTTTAGTCAATTCAGATAACATATCTTCTGAAGATAAAGAATCATTTCCTAAATACAGTCTTTCTAGTCCTACTGATAAGTTTAATACCGATAATTTTATAGAAAAATCATATATTTTTCAAAAAAAAGATATTAATCAAGTTCAACTCAGTGATACAAAAAATCAAGATTTACCTGAAATTTGTATTACTAATAACATTTCATCAAATATGAATTATATATTAAGTCAATCAAAAGATAATGTTCAGTCATCACAAAAATATTCATGTACAGAACTTGAACTAGTCCTTTTATAAAAAAACAATCTTTAGATTCTTGTGATTTATTGTCTTCCACAGATTCAATATCATGTAATATTGATACAACATTTCAATGTGTTAAACAAAAACATAAAAATTCTATGAGACAAAGAAATATTCAAAAAACTATGCAATACAATAAAGAAAAACAAAATCATATTACAAAACATAAAATAAAAATTAGTACACAATCTAAATTACCTAAATGGACATTAAATTCTAAAAAAAAAATTAAAATGAAAAAAAAAGAAAAAGAATCATTTACATCTATTATTCAACCCAATCAAGATGAATTAAACTTAAGATGTTCAGAAATTACTATTATCAATCCTTTGAATTATCAAAATGTACAAAATACATGTGAATCACCATTATCAACATTTCAAATGTCATATTGTCAAACATCTCCTAAAACTTGTTGTACATCTAAAAAGAAAAATAAACAATTAAATTGCCCAGAAGTAAAACAAATGTCTCAACAAAAACAAATTTTGTTAAATCTTTATGAAGATTCTATGGTGGATACAATCTACAAAGAAGATTCTAAACTAGAAAATCCTCAAGATATCATGGAAGACATCTCAGAAGATTCAAGTATGTCAAGTATATCCGAAAAATCACATATATCTAAAAATAAATCTTGTTTCAAACTATCAGAAAAAAAGATGGAAATTGATACTGATATAATCAAAGCAAATCTCATAACAGATAAGAATACAACTAAAGTTTCAAATAATAATGGAAAATCTAATGCCAAGTGGTCATTACAAGATATAGATATGCAACCATCAAATTCTATTAAAGAACAAATAATTACAACTTTGAATGAAGATATATCTTTGAAAAAAAGAAAATTACAACTTCAAAATTTTATTCAGCCAACTTCAACAAATGGAATTGTTTGTTCTATAAATCAGCAGAAAAAGAAAAAAAATCATTGTGTCTCTATAAAAAAAAAGGTAATTTTATTTTAAATATTCTTGATAATTTATTTTACTTTAAAAATAAACTAATTCTTATTTTAAAATTTATTTTATTTTCTATGTAGTTTTAGAATATCATCATGTTGAATAAATAAATATAAATTTTGTATAATTAAATATTTTTATGAAATAACTATATTATGTACAATAAAATTTATATATATTTCACATTTTGTCTACATATTCAACTAATGGCATCAAAAACACAGTGTGGTAGTTTTATCAAATAGAGAAGTTTTAATATTTACTTAGATTTAATATTTTAATATTAAATTTCAAAGACTCCAAATTAATAATTCTCCTCACGGAAGATCAACATTGGAAGACATTTTATTGTTTTGAGTGCCTTTTAAACATCTTATAAGTAAAATATTTTATATAATCAAAAATGCATTTATGCATAGAGAAGAATAAATTTTGTATCATTTTGCAATTCAAGACTGATATTTAAATTTTAGTAACACGGACATTAAAATGTAAAAAGAAAATTAAAATGAAAAAAGAAGAAAAAGAATTATTTTTATCTATTGTTCAATTCAATCAAAATGAATTGAATTTAAAATATTCACTGAATATTATTATGAATTATCAAGATGTGCAAAATACATGTAAATCACTATTGTTAACATATTTCACATATTGTCATATTGTCAAACATCATCTAAAAATTATTATACATCTAAAAATATACACAAACAACTAAAATGTGCAGGTGTTCAACAATTAAAACGTATATCTCAACAAAAAGAACAAATTTTACTAAGTTTTCATGAAGATTCTATGATGGATACAATCTACAAGGAAGATTCTAAATTAGAGAATTCTCAGTGTACCATGGAAGATAACATCATGGAAAATTCAAGTATGTTAAATGTATTTGAAAAATCACATACACCTGAAAACAAAATATCTTGTTTCAAAATATCAAAAAAAAAACATAAAGATTAATACTGATGTTATCATATTGAATCTCATAACAAATATAAATATAATTAAAATTTTAAATAATATTATAAAATCAGCAAGTGAATATTACAGAACATAGATACATTATTAAATCTTCTGAAAGAGCAATTGTACTTTTGGATAAGCATATATCTTTGAAGAAAAGAAAATTAGATTTTAAAATTTTTTTTCAACCAACTTCAACTTTAAAATAAATGTAATTGTTTACTGCACAGTCAACAAAAAATTTAAAAAAGAAATAAAATGTTATATATCTTCGAGAAAAGGTAATTATTTAAAATTTTATTTCATAAAATTCATATTTTATATATTTCAAATATATTTCATAAAATTTTAATATAGTTTGAAAATATTATCATATTTATAAATATATATATATTATGTAACTTTTATAAATTAATTTTAAATATATTTTCATAATTTTTTATAAATTAACTATATTATATGAAATAAAATTTATATGTATATTTTATTTATTTTTCTAATAATACTATTAAAAATATAATGTAATTTTATTAAGAGCTTTAGAAGTTTATATTTAGTTAGTTTAACATTTTGACATTTTAAAAAATAAAATACTAATAATTCTCTATGAATAATTCTCTAGAAGATGATACACAACATTAGAAGATTTTATTTTTTTGAATATCTTATATAAATTTCATAAATAAAATACTTTATTATTATTATTATTATTATTATTGTTATATACTAATCAAAAAATGCATTTATGCATAGAATTTGTTACAATTTTGTTACAAATAATAATTAAATTCTAGTATATTCAATATTTGCATATGTTAAAAATATGGTAATATGATATATACATATGTTTATATTTTTTGCCTTATTTTTTATGTCTTATTACAAGATAAAAATATATTTTATAAAAAT